TCTCCTCCAGAGTTCACTCCATGTGCCTTTTTCTCGTTGCAGGTTTTGCTCTGTCTCCTTTGTTAGAATAAATCTTAGCCATGGGTGTGACTCTATGCTGAGTCCTTTTGGAGAATCACAGAACCTCGGGGGTGGCCTTGGGGACCCTGGACAAACCTGGCCAAGGGCTTTCCTCTCAGGAGAAGACTTTCCCTCAGGGCCTGGTAGCATTAATGCGTCTCCAGACCCCCAAGTAAGAGGAGGAATCAGACCTGGTGGCTGTCCCAAAGTCAGCCTGGCCCCACCTCTTGCTGGGCACATGAACATGTCCTTTCTGCCCTTCTCTGTGTACAGGAAACTGAGGCCCAGGGAGGGCAGGACAGCCCATGGGCACATGGAGAGTGAGCATCCAGGTCTCCTGCAGCGCCCAGACCTCCCCATGCCTCTCCGTCCTGGCCAGGGGCTCCCTCCCAGCTGGGTAGGGTGCTGGGCCTTCTGCCCTCCCGAATCCTGAACACGGCCGGCTTCCAGGGGCCCACAGCCCATGGAATGACTCTTCCAGCCTTCCCCCTTGCCCTTCCTTCCATCCTGTCCTTCCTTCTACATTTCCATCCATCCCCCTTGCCCATCACTCCACCTTGCCCAGCCTTCCACCTTGTCCACCAGCAAGTCTTGCGGAGCCCTCCTGGTGCGGGGTGGAGAAGTGCACAGTATAGTGTATGGAGTGGGGCCTGGTGGTGGCAGCCTGTGGGCCAGGCACTGAGCCGTACTGATGGGTCCCTTCTTACAGCCTCTCCTGCCTTCCACCTGGGCTCCTGCTCTGGGGTCTGTAGGAACTGAGTACCTGTGCTGCAGGGGGCGGCCTCTCTGGGCATTGCAGGGGTGATAGAGCTATGGTGGGGCTAGGGGATCAGCCTAGTAAGGGTGCTGGGAGCCCTGGGGTGGGCTGCTGTGAGCAAGCATCGAGAGGTGGTGCAGTGGGGAGAGAACCCCCTTCACAGCCCCTGAGTCTCTCTGGGATGGATGTCCAGCCCCTGAAAGTGACTATTAAAATATAGCGTGTTAATAGAAAATCTGAGGTGACTGCCAGTGAAGATAGTTTATCATTCACAGTTCCCAGGAGGAGGCACATCCCTTCACGAAGAGCCACAAGGGGAAGCACAGGGTCAGCCAGGAGGTGGGGAGGTGGCGGGGGCAGGAGTGGGGAGAAACTGTGGGTTGCTTTACTGTGGTTTCCTTGGAAGGAGCTGGAGAGGCAGGATGAACAGGCTTAGGACCGGCTAGTGTGAATAATGTCAGTGGGCTCTGGGGTGGAGGGTCTCCCCCTAGTGGTGTGGTTCCTGGCCTTGCACTGGGAGAGTGACCAGGAGTATAAGACCCCCTAGATGAGGTGGTGGGGGTGTGGTCTCCAGATTGTTTACTTTACACCCCCAAGGAGGGGTGTGGGGGGCAGGAGGCTGAGCAAGGTGAGTCAGGCATATCATCGAGGTGTCCAGGGTATGCATGTAGGACAGATGTTAGAGCATCAAGTTTACAGAAGCTGGACACGTGGTTAATGCAGAGACTGGGGCATGATGAGCATTCTCTGCAGGGGAGGAGTCCTCAGCATGGTGGGGGGTGGGGGGAGGCTGGTGAGAGCCACCCCCCCGCCCCCACCCCGCTCCCGTTCCTTCTAAGCTCAAGTCAGGGTGGGATCAGGGCCCGCTGGGGATCTTTCCTGGGTCTGGGCCCCAGCAGGAGCAGCAGCCCCGTCGAGGGGCTCAGCTCCATCTCAGACTCACCTCTCTCCCCAGAAGTTCTTCCGGCACCTGCCCAGCACAGGCAGGGGTGTGGGAGGGTGTGCCCACTGTCCTCCAGCCTCCGGGCTTCCTGGAGGTACAATAGGACCGCACTGTGAGTCCCTTTGCATGGTAGGTGTGGCTCCCTCAGGACCTGTAGCCCCATCTTTCTCACACCCTGGAACTGGCCCTTTACCTGCCCAGCGTCCAGGCCTCCCTCCCGTGCGTCCTCTTGCAGCCCCTCCTCTCTGGCGCTGCCCTGTGCTCCCAGCTGTGCATTACCCAACTCAGGACCTTCCAACGTGGCCGCCCACACACCCCTCCCACCAGCCGGCCCCCAACACGCCCCAGTCCTGGAAGGCCAACCTTCTTTCCCTTTTTACTTTTTACCTCCCCTGGGAGCAGCTAGAAATGCAGAATTCCAGACCTCCAGAATTGGAATCTGCATTTTGGCAAGATTCCTGGAGATTGGGGGGCACCTTGAAATCAGGAAGCCCTGCAGCCTCACCCAGCAGTCCTTGACTTCCTGGAGCTGCTGAAAACAGCGTGTGGGCCCCACCTGCCTTTCTGACCCAGTCGGTCTGGGTGGAGCCGTCTGACACCACCAGGTGACGCTGCTGCCAAAGTGGGCTGAACTTTGGGAACTGCCCTAAGCTTCACTTTGAGCCACCTGAGGTGGCAGATTGGCCTGGGTGTAGGTGTTTAAAGAACTGGAAGTTGCCCACATGGACTGTAGGTGTCGAAAACCGGGCTGCACATAAAAACTGAATAAAAACTGAATCTGGTCTTTGTCCCTGGCACACAGCTTCAAAAACTCTTGCAAATTCCTGAGTGATAGGAATTTCCTTACAATTTCCTTTTGTTATTTGTAATGAGCCCCTTTCCCATACCCAAGTTTATGCTAATGAGGTGACTCTAGGCATGGAGAGGGCTAGTGATTAGAGGGCTGGGGATTAAGTTAATCACCAATTGCTGATGATTTCCTGTAATGCTTTTTTTTAAAAAAATAAATAATTTATTTATTTGGCGGTGCTGGGTCTTAGCTGTGGCACGTGGGATCATCATCATTGTGGCATGCAGGATCTTTAGTTGCAGCATGCAGGCTCTTTAGCTGCGGCTTGTGAGCTCTTAATTGCAGCATGCGGGATCTAGTTCCCTGACCAGGGATCGAACCTGGGTCCCCTGTATTGGGATCATAGAGTCTTAACCACTGGACCACAAGGGAAGTCCTCATAATGCTTATTCAAGAACCCACAAGAAAGCCTTTGGACACAGAAACTCAGGGATCTTCTGGGCTGGTGATGGTTAATGGGCTGGGAGGGTGGCATACCCTGAGCCCCCGGGGACAGAGGTTCCTGTATTCCCCTCCACGCCCTCACCCTATGTGTCTCTTCATCTGGCTCTTCCTGGTCTGTATCCTCTATAATAGAACTAAAACATAAGTATTGTACTTTCAGAGGTCTGCGGGTCATTCTACCAAATTATTGAATCAGTGGGGGTTATGGGAACCGCTGAATTTATAGCCTCAGGGCAGTGGTCCCCAACCTTTTTGGCACCAGGGACCGGTTTCATGGAAGACAATTTTTCCACGGACCGCGGTTGGGGGGATGGTTCAGGCAGTAATGCAAGCGATGGGGAGCGATGGGGGAGCGATGGGGAAGTGATGGGGAGTGATGGGGAGTGATGGGAGATTGATGGGGAGTGATGGGGAGCAACAGATGAAGCTTCGCTCTCTTGCCCGCCACTCACCTCCTGCTGTGCCGCACGGTTCCTAACAGGCTGTGAACTGGTACCAGTCTGTGGCCCGGGGTTTGGGGACCCCTGCCTTATGGGATTGAGCCCTTGATTGTGGGGCCTGACTTGAGCTCTGGGTAGTTATTTTGGCTGCACTGCACTGCACAGCTTGTGGGAACTGCACAGTTCCCCAACCAGGGACTGAAGCCGTGCCCTAGGCTGTGGAAGTGTGGAGCCCTAATCCCTGGACCAGAGGGACTTCCCTCTGGCTGGTTTTGTCAGAACTGAAATGAATTATAAGATACTCACTGGGTGTGGGGTGGGGTATGCACACGTCACTGGAGGCTCTAAACCAGGCTGCCCGAGGAACAGCCTCTAACACCTTGCCTTCCATGTGTCCCCAAAGCTGGTCAAGGCCAGTGAGGTCTGGCAGCCGCTGAGCCCCAAGCCCTCCCTGCAGCCTCTGCTCATGCTCCCAAACCCCCATTCAGCAGCACCTCTGAAAGGGGTCAGACCCCAGGGGCCAGCACCGAGAGCCTGGTGGACAAGTCTCTCCCAGCCCAGAGATGCCATCACGGCCCCCAGCTCCCAACGCCTGGCTCTTCCAGGAGCTTCCAGGCCTGCTGGGGAGCTCCCGGGGGCAAGGCCTGTGTGCTTCATCCGCCCTCCCCGCAGCACCGCGCCCCCCGCCCCCCCCCGCCCCCGGCAGGTGCCAAGGACAGACAGACGGGACCGAGAGACATGAAGCCAGGTGGTGCTTTTTGTTTTTTGTTTTTTTGCTGTACACGGGCCTCTCACTGTTATGGCCTCTCCCGTTGCGGAGCACAGCCTCCGGATGTGCAGGCTCAGCGGCCATGGCTCACGGGCCCAGCCGCTCCGCGGCATGTGGGATCTTCGTCCCCTGCTTCGGCAGGCGGACTCTCAACCACTGTGCCACCAGGGAAGCCCCGAGTGGGTTTTTATTAACAGCAGGTAAGAGGCATCTTGGGCTGACTGGATCCAAGAGAGAAGATTCTGGCTGAGAGGACTTGGACCGGTCACTCCTGGCAGCCAGGGGCTCTCAGGGATGTCTCTCACTAGAGAGAGCCCTCTGCAGGGGATAAGGAGGCCTCAGAGGAGGTGGAGCCTGGTCACCGTGGAGGCAGGGGAGGGAGGGATGCGGTGTGGGCCAGTGAGCCCTCCACACCTACCGTCTCGGGCCCTCACTATCACCCGTGGGCAGGCAGGCAGGCAGGTGAGGTCACAGCTGGCAGGGACTGTTATCCGGGAACCATGTCTCTGGGCTCCTAACCCAGAGCTCCTCCCCAGATTAAGTGGCAAAGGCACAAGCATTGCAGGTGGGCCCGGCTGGATCAAGTCCCACCAAGCAAGTGTTCCTCTGAGCCCCCTTTGCTAGTCTGAGACCCACTCTCTAACCCAACGGCATCAAGTGCCTGCAGAGGCCTGCAGCTGTTGCAGCCCTGGGTCACTGCTGCCTGAGCCCCCGCCCTCTCCTGTGTCTTACTGCCCTCATGGACCTGAGGAGCCCCCAAGGTCAGGGGAGGCAAAGGGAGAAGCCAAGTCCACCATCCCCAGGGCAGTGTCTCAGGAAGGTGTCCTGAGGGCGGGGTCTCGAGGATGTTTACCTGTGGCAGGGACCATACACCTCATGGCACACGAGCTGAAGCAGCACTTCCGGTTCTCCATACATTGGTCATCCCTGGAGCACTTGTTTCTCTCTAAGCAGAGCTTTGGGGCCAGCGGGGCCTGCACCCGGGGACAGCGGCCAGCCTTTGGAACAGGTACTAGGGGAGAGGTGGGCCAGGCCTTCATCGCCCACTGGCTTGCTGGGGCTGCCCCACTGCTGGTCTCCGGCAGCCCCCAACCTTCACGCCCGCTTGGTGGTCTGGAGCTTGAAGGCTGGGAGGGAGACAGCAGCCCTCGTGGATCGCTGAGCCGGGCACTGGTGATGTTGGGAGGAAGTGGGCGAGCCTCAGCTGGGCCTCCGGTGGGTCCAGCAGGTGAAGCGGTGTCATGGCTGGGCTTTTATGGGGCCACTGGGGGGTTCACTGAGAGAGGGGTGTGGAGTGCCGGCTCAAGGGGACCCTTGACAAAGCTGGCCCCTCCCTTCCTCCAGATGGGCTCTGTGGCTCTAGTCCCCCAGCACACGGACATCTTTGGGCAGTACCCCACTCTTCTGCTGTCACTGACACACCCCGCCGCGGGGGGTGCCTCCCCCGTTCTCTCCTCTTGTCCCAGTTACCAAACTGCCAGGTCCGGCAGTGTTTCAGGGGCGCACCTGGAGGGGAGGGAGTTCGGGACGACCCTCCTGGGCCTACCTGGCAAGGTGAGGGCCGGGGCCAGCATGAGGGCAGCCTTCAGGGCGAGCAGGGCCAGGGCCAGGCTGGCAAGACAACGCATGGTGGCGGGTGGCAGGCAGGTGGCAGATAGTGGCTTGTGGCCCTGGGGCACCTTTAAAGGAGGCAATGGGGGGAGGAGCATGGCTGGGAGGGTGGGCGGCTGGGGCTGCCCCAGTGGGACAGAGGGGCTTCCGGCTTGGACAGAGCCCAGACTGGGCAGCTGCTGCCTTGGGCCGCATTTGTAAACAAAAAAAGAATTCCTAATAAGGTGGACCATTGTTTTCCACTTTGCAAGTAATGCGTGTTTACTCTGAGAATTAAGAAAATGAAGGGCAGACGAAGGAAGAAATAGAATCCACATCAACACAATGTGGCGTTGTTTTCCGTGGTCGTGGGGGTTCCCTTCAGGGAGAGGGAGTCACGGGTCCCGTTCAGCACACGGTCCACAGGTAACGGAGAAGGAGGAGGAGCCCAGGCGCAGGGGTATCTGGGGGGGGCGTTTTATTTCTCCCATGGTGTCTTTTTGTCTTTTCCTGAACATTCTACAGCAAGAACAGGCCGTCTTGAGTTTATGGGCTGCATGTTCTGTGCAGAGAATGTTGGGCATCTGAGAAAGGGAGGGGCAGGGGCAGTGTCAGGGCTGTTTCTACACAGGGTGGATACTGGGAAGGCCTCTTCCCAGAAGGGCCCACCTGTGCCCTGTGAGCAGGATCAACACCAAGGAGACGTGCCCCTCCTTCTCTGAGGAAACTTCCTTGATCCTTCTGCCCTGAGGGCCTGGACAGGGAAGTTGGCCCCGGGGTGACCATGTGTGCTGATGGTCAGTGCCCACCCCTGGTCCAGCCCGTACTCTGCCTGGGCTGTGGCTTCTTGACCTTTGACACAGAGCCCCTCAGTGCTTCCCTGGGTACTCGCATTTCCAGATGTTTTAGCCCGGAACACCCTGCCACTTCGACAGGCAGCTCAGGTCCCCCTGGCTCTCCTTGACCCCGGGCCCCATGTAGCACCGTCTCAGCCCCTAGGACCCCTCAGCAGAGTTCTTGGACCTCAGCTCAGGTCCCTCCCGGGGTGGCCAGTGCCAGCCTTCAGGGATGGGGGTCTGGAGTCCTGGCCAATGGCGACTTGCTACCTGCTGGTGCCTCTTCACACTGGCAGCTCACAAGATGCTCCCCATTTGGCTGTTTCCCCTCCTGCAGCCTGAGAAGAATGCAGTGCACAGGTCAGAGTGGGGTACTGAGGTTCAGAGAAGTGAGGGGTGGCCAGGCCACGGTCACTCACTGGCTGGCTCTGCTGACCTTTCTCTCCCTGTTCTCTGTCCATCTCCCTACACCATGGCTGGGAGGACTCGGGGTCCTCCTGGCTCAGATGCTGGGTCTGAGGCCAGGCTGATCACACCAGGAGCTCAGGCCACGGGGCCGTGGCCTCACACTGAGTCGCCAGCCTCTGGCTTCCTGGGACACAGCCCTTGGGCTATGGGACCTGTGGTCATAGGGTCACAGGGCCTGGTCCCTTCCTCCTTGACCATAGGACTGGCTACATACTTTGTGGGGTGCCTTGTTCAACAAGTGGGAAGAAAGTGTTGGTGAAGATACTAAATACAAAAGTTTTCCTCTTTTCCACGTCTCTCGTTTTTAAAAATGGTGTTTTTTAAAAATGTCACTCTAGCTAAATGAAAAGTTTCTATTATTAGTGTGAATATTACCATTCATCTTTTTTTTTTTTTTTTTTTTTTTTTT